GATGATGTGGAAGATTTCGACCCCTCTTTCTGTGTTCACATGACGAGGTCAATGCCTGAGAAAATCAGCAAAAATTGATCAGCGGATCTTGAGTGAGCCGGCGTTGAAAACTGCGATTCAGTCCGCAGGAAAAAGCGTTGTGTTATCTAAGCTTGAGATAATATCGTCCCTAAAGGCAAATGCGATGCTGTTAAATGGTGAGTGGATCTGCCAGGGAACTTATTATTCTTGCGAAGCATCGTCCTCTTTCCAAACATTTAAATTCAAAATCTCCGAAGCTACCGCATTTACTGACATATGCGTGATCTGACAAGGTGATGCACTGTTCCTCAGTAGTTTTTGCGTATTATTGACGTGGCTTTAGTTTAGTGATCAAAGTGAAAAAAAAAAAAAGATGTAAATACGAAGAGATGTTTGTTTATCATTATGTTCGTATAATCGTTTAGTAATTTCTTTCTGAACTGAACTATCGTAGCGACACCATCAATTCTAGCATTTACGTTGTGCTAAACAATAGATGCTGTTTTCCTGTCACACCTGCTGACAATGCAATTAGGGTCGTTTAGCGTATCTATTATTTTTACCATTACTTGAACTGCTTATGCTACTATTCCACGTGATCGTCAATGGATCCGCTAATATATTTGTCTGTCCTGTCGTTCCATAACGACGTCGGTTTATTCGATCGGGCTTTTGTCTCGTTGCCTCGGGCCTTTATTAGCGCTTCACCGGGCACTGACAGGTGACGATCAAGTTCATGGCCACAGACTGGGTCGCGCTGTTCCCTCGTGGCCTGTTTACATTGGAAGGGTTGTATTGGCCAACGCAGTGCCGAATGAGAGAGATTCGGGAAGGTAGAGAAAGATAGGAAAAGAAAGAAACAGGGCCAGCGACCAGAGTAGGCGTGCGTGCAGAAAGCCTCGACTAGCTTATTTGACCGTCGCTGGTTAAGTGTTGTAGCCTCAGCGGCTACATGCTACAGTGGTCTTCATGAGCCGAGCAGTCTGGTTGGCGTGTATTTATTTTTCGCCGGTATCGCTCTTCGATCTTGACATGGTGGTCGCGACGTCTTGGTATGACATTTGTTTTCAGACCCAAAATTGGTGCCATAAGTTGTTGCCTGTGTAATTATCGCTATCTACACACTGTAAAAATTTTTAAAAAAATTTCATTATACAAAGCGAAATGCTTGGTACACGGATATTTCTTATAGTGTCAAAATAATATGTCAATAATTTTATCAGCAGGCTAAGACCAAATTATCAGATCTATTTGGCTTGGCTACAGTACAATCTAGGAGACAACTGTGTTAGTTCTCAGCGGCACAGGGGGCAAGTATAACAGAATTTAATATAAAATTTATGAAGCGTTTATACTTCGAACGATCCGATTCAGTGCCTTTAGTGAAACTCTCCTTAGGAAAAACTTCCACATGCTCCTAAAAATGTTCTAATAAAGTTGGACGAACAAACGACATTAAAACTAGCTGCTAACTAGAGGCACCATCCATCAAGCGGTTGACAATGTTTTTGTTCGCTTTAGCAGACGTCTGTGCTATACCGCATATAACTTGTAACGCGTCTTTAAAACTAAGCTTTTTAGCTTATGATAGATCACTTGGATATGTTTCGTTTACTGTAAATAACATTAACAGATGAAGTTAGTACCGCGAATGTGTTTCAAATGTCTGTATCATCTTATGGGGTTCGAGCTAGGGAATAGCTGTTCGGTACTCGATAGCAAGAACCTTAAATGTCTATTGTGTATGTATCACAGTATGGCGTTAAGACAGTAAAACAGTTCGGCACAACTGCAAAAAACGTTTTGAACCCTCTTGCGCAATTCGTTAACGATAAGTTCGTACGCCTTTAATTCTGAAAGACAGCGCACACACAACTCCGTCCTTGGACGGACTTCAGTTCAGAGCGATCGGCCAAATTGCCATTTCAAGAGCGGAACACCCTTGCGATGCGCTTGTGATGGAATCGTCGATATTCCATGTATGTGCACGGTATCCTCTGTCGTCAATATCACATGAAATGTGCACGTTTAGGTGTATGTGAAGGCGTACCGCCATGTGACGTGCAGCCTATATAACGGAGCCAGCACACAAGCATCCGTCAGCTCGTCCATCGATGCCGTATCTTCCTCGATCGCCTGCTCTGTTGAGGTGTAGTGGCTGTCACCTGGTGGCAATCGGCTTGGGTATGGTGAAGGGCGAGTCCTTTACCAGTATCCAAACTACTTGGAACAATCTCTATCCGCCAAGCTGAGCCGGGAACACTGCGGTCTACGCCAGTGGTTAGCAGTAATCGGAGGAACATTTGTTAAAGCAAAGAGCGACACACGTACGTCAAGCTGTCAGCCGTATCTGAAGTGGCGCTACGATCTTTGTGAACGTGTCCAGATACGTCCGACTAAAGGGTGCGGCAACATTTTGACGAACAAACCAACAACAATGTCCGGAGTAAGGTGCCTATCGATGAAGAGGTTGTCTGATGGCGCCAATGAACGTTGGTGGGGATCGGCGCCCTTACGTGCTGAACGTGCTAGCCCCCTTCCGCACGACCCTCCTAAGGAGTTCTTTTCATTCGATCTCAAGGTGCGTTAACACCTGGCTGCCGGAACACACCTTTGAAATTAGCATAACCAAAAGATGTAGTTTACGCCTACTGACCCCTTTGTTTCAATAGCGTGCCAATAGGTAGACATTGTCCTTTGTTAAGGAGCGGTGTGCGACATGAGAGGTCGTTTCGTTCTATACCGCTCACACGTTATGCTCATGATATGTTCATATACAAACACAACCATGAAGGATGCATCTTTTGTGCACCGCTTGGTAGAAATAACCAACAACTGTTATAGATTAAACATTTCGGCTGTCATATTTTATATTTCTTCAGAGTGCCAACGCACAAATGTCGAACCGGTTGGGACATATGCTGGGCTGGCTATCAGTGTTGTCGAATTCTTATAGCACCGTGGCATTCAAACTGGTCATAATCGATAAAATGCTCTCTCTCTCTCTCTCTCTCTCTCTCTCTCTCTCTCTCTCTCTCTCTCTCTCTCTCTCTCCCTCTCTCTCTCTGTATATATATATATATATCGGTGAACTATTTCATTAGCGTCGCTCGCCATCTAGTACTCTTCATTTTGTATTTCAAAGTTTCGCTCGCTAACTGGTGTCGTAAAACTTTATTCGATGGCTTCTCAGCGCACTGACAGAAAGTATGATGGGATACAACACGCTTGAGCATGCTGTGATGCCTGGCTACTGCGTAGGATAGTCGCTCCTGGGTTGTTCACCTACGTGGAGGAAAATCTATATGTAGCAGAAAATCCTGCGGTGACGACCAAGATATTATGGGCTATTCTGTGGCTGGTTCTGATTTTGATCGTTGCTATTTCAGCAGCGGCTGGTGCTGCAGTTGTTGGTTTGTTTATGATAACGAGCGGTCGTGGCGTTGACCTGTCCGTGCGTTCGGCACCGCGGCCTTTAGCCTGCCGTCTATTTCAGTGTCAAAGAATTTCGTTGTGTTGCGATGTATGCGTGTATGTTACATGAAAGAGAACCTTTGTAGCTGCTTATGTGTTACTTTTGTTCAACTAAATAATTTTTTTGCTAAGTACTAAATATTTTGGCACTGGATTTCGTTCCGAGATGTAGTACTGGTGCCAACTTGTATGAGGATAGAGAAAACTTTAAAACCTTGGTTAGACACGCTGACGTCTGGAAAATCCTCCGTCGGGTACGAGGAAAATTATTGTTATAGGCATTGCTTGCATGCCTTATACTTTCTTGAATGTTTTCAAATGCAGTTAAAAGAGAGTTACACGTTGACTTTTTATAAAATTAAATAAAAAAAGGCATTCCCATGACGGGGGTTGCCACCTAGAACCCATTTCAGTGTAAAGCGGCATTAGGAGTGTCTATAGCACCGCGTTCGCTAACTAAAAAAAAATACGGATCAAATATCTGCGCAATTCAAAAGACAGCCGAAAAAAGACTTATATGTGAGCTTTTTTTCAACTGCCTTTGGAATCGCATAGATATTTTATCCGTATTACTTTTATCTTTATTTTCTTTTAAATAACTAACTACTGCTTTTTTGTCGGAAAAGGTGCTGACTTAGCTGATGGTAGTATTATCTAGAACTACTTGAGCTATTCCATTATATTCTTAATGAAGGCATAAAAAAATCTGAAGGCGAAATAAATCCTGTATTTTTTTCGACGGCAACTTTAATTTGCAATGAGATTTTTGTACCCAAAAACAGTCGATAAATTTATTTTTGTATTCTACAAAAGTGCATTGTATATACAGACCTAGTGGAAAAGTAGTGATTTCCATAAATGTGGCGTTTATTACTGTATACTGTACGGTAACAGCTTAGGCAAAAATAGTTTGTAAATAGCCGCTAGCGGGTTGAGGTAAGCGTATGTGCGGCAAGCTAGGATAGAGAAATACAAATTTGCATCAAAACACCTTGATTTTCAATTCGGAATTATCATGTGGTGCTTTTTATTTTATGTTAATTAGAGTAGGGCTTTTTATTTATGTCCCTTATAAAATAATTGGCTTCTTTATATGTTATGCATTTCGAGAAAAGTTAGGATATTGCCTTAGTTGATTATTGAATATATCGTGAACATACATATTTAGTTTCTAATTACTTTGTGAAGTTGGAGGGATAATTTAAAAATAAGATTTTCAAACCTGGGTAATTTGCCTATGCTGATTTATCTAAATGCATATAACTTCAGAGTTTTTTTTTACATGAGTTCTAACAAATCCAGACGTATTAGTACTAGGGTTGTAGTTTCTACTTTTGTTTTTGTCTCTCCTTTCGGTGTTAGCGCGTCAGTGCGCAAGCAGGTGTTTCCGTAGTATTCTGTACTTGACTTTTCCCTTCCGCCACAACCACCTCTTCTATTATTATTATCGCTTACTAACCAAGCATTCCTCCTTGGTGTTGTCTCCTGACTATTTCTCATTCTAGGACGCAGATCTAATCGAAATCCTGTGGAAACAAGACGTGGATTTGGGTATCCCGTTAGAGGACTATCGGCCAGTACAAAATACTGCTAGCCCAGTTCAACAGCACCCGGTAAATTCGCTAACCACGTTTCCCGCGTCAACAGCTGGCCAGCCCAAGGCGTTCCCCACTCCTATCACACCATTCGGACCTCAGCAACAGTTGGACCCTCAGAACCAGCAAGCGCTATCCTCAACAGGCCAATATTTTGCCACTTCTACTGCCGACAAACCTATCAAGGTATACTTCTGCATATTTCGTACAGTTAGATATTCTTTTTTTACCTAACATCGTAATGACTATCCTGAACAAATTATTGAGAACCTCAGGAATATAATTCTCAATGATCATACCTAGCTTAAATGGAAATTATTTTAAAACGTTTTTTCATAGTCTTTTTTTTTGTTGGGACATAGAGGGAGAAAGTAGAGAGACAGGGCTCTTTCCTGTTTTAAAGTAATTGTAGTTAAATGTTTTATTTGTTAAATAAGGGCAAAAAATGTAATGTTTCTCAAAAATAAAACGAAGACCGACGTCGAATACATCACCATGGTTCTAGAGATCTTACACATGACTAACTTCTGGCTTGGAATGCTATTCTTTAATGTAGATAAGGTTCTATTATATGCGCACTTGATTCCAAAGGGACTCCCACTTTTTCGATAGAAATATATGTACATGCCTTTCTTTCTATTCTTTAATTTTCTAAAATTTCTAGCAGTAATTAATTGGGAACGAACATGTACGTTTCTTGTATTTGCTCGTTTACAGAAAGGATATGAAGTCGAAGTGCACGAGCCCCACCGCATTTCCATCGACACTGAGACTGGTAAGATGTTTGTTTATCTTCAGTGAAGTACACTACTTAAGAAGTACGGAGAAGCAAGGTTACCGCGAGACTTCTACCATCATGCAAGCGGGCGATGCATTTTGAATAAGGCGAGTTGGGCTATTAAAAGCAGTGCCTGCACCTCGATTGCACGTAGCTTGGGCGCGGTAGGCGGGTGATACGCGTTAAAGCTTTAAAATACATTGTGCATATGTATAAATGAGATTGGTGTAGTTCTCCGATGTGACGAAGTGGCCGTTCTCTTTCTAAGGTAGACGTTTGTTTGCAGCCTCGAAGGCTGTGCGAAGTTGCATTCACAGCCTTCGAATCGTTGAGGCTTCGTTAAATCTATTATAGGACAGAGGACTAAGTCCCAAACTAAGTGCTGTTAAAACTATATGATATCAATTTGTATTTATCGTCAGGAATCGAATGAAAGTCGATGCTAAATTGTCAAATATATGAAGTGTAAAAGTAGGTAAAACATATGAAAGGCCGTACTTCTTGGTTAGCTGAGCATCCCATCCGCACACAGACCCATATAATATTAAATGAAATATTTATTCCAGGAAATAACGTAGAAAGGGTAACAAAAATACAAATTATAATGGAAACAGTAACCACATTCCCATGCTCTATAAACATAATCCTTTTTAATGGAGCAGACTGGATTATACTATTATATATAGCTGAGCTGATCTAATTCTATTGTACTATTTATCGTTTCCCTGACGGAGAAAAGTCGATCTTTCCCCAAAGGCGATTTTGAGGAAACAGAATATAAGCTTTAAAATTAAATCGGCATATTAGTGTATTAATATTTCAAGTTCGCCCAATTGCATTCCCCCTGGTCATTACGTTTAATTACGTAGTATTGCTGCCAATTAATATTACAGAAATGCACTGAGGCCGCAAACGCAAACCTATTTATTTCCTAAACCTCATTTATCACTATGAAGTTCATGCTATATGTGTGGCTATGCTTTGTGACTCAGTGATGGCCATGATATTTCAATTACTCTGAGGAGACTTATCGACATGTGTAATATCATGGCTGAGTAAGATCTTTCCTCCTGCGTAATTCACACTTAAATGATTCAGTTATCTATACTACGAGCAGCAGAAGGTTTTTGGCGAGTGGCGTGAAACTCTTTCTGTCTAACAAGTAGGCGACGATGTTAACGTTACGCGATCTTTGAGGAACTCTGTGTTAAACAACATCGAAATTAACCTTTTTTTTTTTTTTTAGAGAAAAATCGTGTAGTCTTTACAGTTCTTCATCTTGAGTTTTACTCTCGCTAGCTATTTTGTAAAAGTCTCGACTGTCGTATCTTTTTGTTGTCGGCGGTCTACATGTTTAATCAGTTATCTTTGTAACAGGTTTCTAATAAAAAATCTCTGTCGTTATGCAACCTCGTATGATCAGACCTCGTTCACAAAAAGTACACAGACATATGGACTTCCTTTCGCCCTTTGCAATTATTTTCCACCAGTTCATTCCTTGCAAAACTTATTATATTAAGGGTCATATAAAAAAAATACCTGCGCAGATTGAGCCTGTGCATCGTAGCAAGACACTCGTAGCGGGAAAGTTATCTGGCAATTATCAGGGTCGTCTTCGGCAGCTCTTTCACTACGCATAGAAGTAGACTTATGATGTCATACCTAAAATTACTGCGAACAGTGTTTTTCGTGTAAATAAAGTGGGTGGACCTACTGAATACTTTTCCCTGAGTATTATACCTGCCCGAAGCCATAAAAGCAAAAACATTGCGTAGCCAGAATGGACTCATAATAGTTTTATCTTTTTGTTAATGACCATTCGAAAATTAGTTTACGAACCTATTTAGTAAAAACGTGGTTTAAATAATTTTTTGGTGTTAGCGAGAACTAATTTTATGAGGATTCCACTGGACTTACATAGTTGTGTCCAATGTAAGACATCGTTGTCTTGTTTTTCGTTCCGCTTGAGGCTGACTTTTGTTTTTTATGCTTTGTATATTGAATCATTTTAAATCTGAGCCATGAGGTATTACCGCGGAGATATTCCATAATTGAGCCAACTTCGCTTCTCCGCCGAAACCCGCGAAGGGCAGTCTTCTATGTTCCACGTCCCGTATCGCCGTTAGGCATTCTATCAGATGACTGGTTCCCATTACGAAACAAGTCTGTGTATATCCGAGTTCGAATCAACATAGGCCTACATTGTTTTTTCGTATCATCTCTTGGCTATCCGGTCTGCGGGTCGTGCCTAAATTTCTTCTTCGAAAAATATATATAATGACATGCTAATAATATGTCATAGTAATTATTTGCGAACGTTACAATTTCAATCATAGAAGCCTGTTTATGGTCAACCATGGCCACACAAAGAAGATCACATTAATCACTTAATCCAGGCCGCCTTACACTTTTTCTTATGTAGCCTCAACTACCTCTGCTAATTTGTATGGGCTTGCTTAAATTACGTAAACTTAAATATAGAAACGCTCTTTTTAAATCATGGACATACATATGATTCGCGAAGTGCCAGCTTTTAGCACTTTTATAATGCTTTCAGTGTCCGAAAGTATCCTACAACGGCTCTTCTACAGCATACGATAGGATAAGGCAGCGTATCGAAGGCTGTACCGAGAACATATTTAGCTTGCTGAGCTTGATTGCCAACAGTGATTGTACCCAAAGGCCCTTTACATGAAGTTGGCTTTAGCACCAATCGAACGATTTTTCACGGCTGTTTAACATGCGTTTAGCACGTTTGCCACGGAAGACTTTGCATCGTTCAGAGTTTTAATTATGGTATCAGCATCTGAACAAGCATCTGTTAGCTAAGCCCTTCTCGGAAACGCACTTCACGTACGGGCCGCCTAAGCCGTGCATGATGTGCTATTCTCAGTTAGCTGTTTTTTTCCATCTTATTTCTGTCACAGCTGTCAGCCGTTGCACTGCGTCACCATTAAACTTGTATTATTGATCTTACCTGCGTTGATTTTTTTTCTAAAAAACCCTGCACTGCACTATGTTTCGAATACGTGCCCTAAACGTCGGTTGTGTCGGCGAGTCTGTAAGCTGGACTTAATTGCATTTCAAAGAGGCACAACAATCAACTGCGGCTGACCTGGAACCTATTTAACTGTTACACCTGTCAATTCTTCCATTTAATCTGCTATCTCATCCATCAAAATGTAGAGGGCGCAACCGATCATTAAGCAATGATATCAAAAAGCATCATCTGCTGCTGAAGTGACAGTGCATTGGTTCGAAATATTTGCTGACTCATGTAGGAATATTGCAAGAAGACGATGTTTCGTTACCGTTGACCAATGTGTATCGAGTTGACACAGCAGGAAAACGAGAGAGAGGAAGGGCAAAATGAGAGGGAGAAGAAGGGAGGCTGCGAGTGTATTACAGCAGCCTTTTGGTTTCGGCGTTGCACAAGGGAGAATCTGTCGCTTGAAAAAGTTCGCAGCAAATAACCCTTTTAGCCTACTCCGAATTTGCCTTTTCGTGCATATCTGTTCTAGTGTTTGTCGAGTCAATTAAGTCATACCTTAGTTTCCTGTTGCGTTATTGCTCAAACTTCCTTTACGGTCTATTGTTAGCTATGTGTCGTGTCAAACGTGTCTCTCTACGGAAGCTTAAATAAGCTTTTATTCGATTTTATTCTTTCGCCCGTTCTCTTAGATACGTGAGCTTATATTCGATGGTGTGATTGACGCCATTCTCAAGCAAATAGACGTTCATGGACCTTCTACTTGGAGGGTCGTGGAGCCAGTAAATTCGTTAGCAGTGACTCCTATTCGCCATAGTGGTTGTGTAGAATAATTATTCTGTGAAGCGGTGAAAAACGTCTCTCAGCGTTCGATCGACGGGACGTTCAATATTTACGTCTATATATGGCTAGCCAATTATTAGTGTGGGAACATCAAGCAGAGTTGGCACAGAGGTGTCTCGGATACACCGTATGGCTTGAACTACGGACTGCCTGCTTTCCCAAATTACGCGAAGTGCTACTGCGGCAAGGTCGAGATATGCAACGACATTTCAATACGTGCTTTAGTGCTAATGGTGGCTACAATTGTTTATTGATTTTCCGGCGTCGCATGGCTACGGTCGTGTATAATAGAAACCAGTGTATATTTATCCCGTTAGATGTGACTCCGTAGCTGCTGCAGCTGCTGCTGACGATGGTGATGATTAAGCAAGAACTTCACCCAGATGATTCTTTTAGTACATGTGTACCGCCTATACTAGACATTCGTCTATGCGTATGCCCTTTTTCTACATGTTTGATATATTGCTGAACTTCAATGATTCAATACGTTGACAACCAGCTGTACAAACGGAAAAGTGGTAAAGGGGTCGGCCATATGATAACTAACGGGATCATTTCTGTGCTCATTAGTTGAATTAAGCTGAATATCCACTGAGCTTAACTCACGACCCTGTTAATCACTTCCTTTAATGGTCGCGTACGCTCGGTTTATTTCGTGTGTATTTGAGCGCACGCGTTTTAGGTACGGGGATAGAACCTCATAAATAAATGATAGCTATGGCTTGAACATTTGAATATGTTCCATTCATGCTTAAAACTGGATTCAGTGAACTGCTTTGAAATAAGCGAAGCGTTCGAAATGAAACAGGTCAAACAGTTTTTGCGTTAGCAAGCTATACATTAACGTGGGCGAGTAAGCAATAAATACGCCTGTCGTTCAACAGGTGAGCCCATTTTCGAGCCACTGCCGGGCCCGTCGTCACTAGCGAATGGAACTCTTTCGTTGACGGGTAACTCTACGTCGGATTCTTTTCTCGATGCGCTTATGGACGTTGTCGATGATGTGAGTATGAGCTTTTATCTTATTTGTAAACTTGTAGTAAACTTAAGTGCCGTGGATTTGTCTTCAGCATGAGTGGATCACAAACATCGGATGATTCAAGATTTAGCCTCATATACTATTACACGCACACAAATGAATGCAGTTACAACGATGTGCTTACCTAAAACTTACATTTCTCCAAAGAAAGCCTATTATTACTCGTGTAAAACTTGTCTCTCTGTTATCGTCGTTCCGCACCGGTGGTCTTTCGAACTTTTAGCGTAGCTCAGCATGAAGATTTTCGTACTATGGGTGTGGGCTCTGTATGTCTTAAAGCGAACTGATCACGGAAGCGGCAAAGACGGCACGAATCCGAATTCATCATCATGGCGGGAGGGGGTCCTCGGCGCCAGCGGTACAAACTACAAGCGTCCACTAAGTCATACGTGAGAAGCCATACAAAACAGTATCCAAGTTTCGAATAATATACACTAGACTGCAATTACCGTCAACAATAGGGCACCAATATAGTACTAGCTGCTCGTTATCGCATTCGTCCTCGTGTCTGCCAAACCTCCGCATAAATATTGCTGTATTCTACATCCATACACAAAGCGAGACAGGAATACGGAGACAGGGCCGTCATGCTACAAAGACATTTATGGGACAGTAGATGCTAAAGAAAAGGCCAAGCTATAAATTGAGGCTTTTAGAAATGTAGATCTCTGTACTGCAAAGGGATCCGCAATAGGTCATAGCACAGCGAATATCTATTTTCTCACAGTGATATCTTGGCAAATGAGAAAGCATTTAGCACTTTTTATGGTGATGTAAAATTGTACAACGTAAAGCTAAAGCCTTCCCAACGGTGGGCCTGCATTGAACAGGTCACAACGAGAGTTTAGTTCTTCTCTTAAGAACTGATTTCGGGTACTTGACGCAAAATTTGATTTCACTTCCGTCGTGCTTCTTTAACTCTAGATAAGATATAGATCTTTTTGATTTCGTTCGGATTAGTGACTCATCCACATTAATTTTCTATTATTGGCCAGAGAATAACTTGAATCAGGGTTGTTTAGTCATCACATTACGTCTTACGATCAGCATATCCAGGAGTTAACCGACAGCTGGTTTCTCCTTCGATAATATGATGTTTCCAGGTTTCCATTGCATTTCGTTCCGTCGTGTCCCTAACCACCATGTAGAACCCATTTGGGCGGCGCGTACAAACAGGTGAACACAGAAATTTGTCTCATCCGGATTTGAACGTGTCTACAAGTCAGGAGTAACTGTGACGCGTACGACTTACAGTATGACTACATGAACTATTATTTGTTTACGTATATCTTTGTTATTTACCATGACATGCAGTATTAGGTATTAAATAAATACAAGAATGCGCATCCTACTCCTATGTTCGGTCGATCGATCGGGTGCGGAAAGCACGCGCTCACTTTGTATGTATATTTCATGTACATCATCGTCATCATCACTGCGACTTCTCGACGACGTCAATATTAACAGTGGTATTGGTACGTTATTGTTCTTAGTCCTACTCTTCGATTAGTGCGTGATCGGGCGTGTGGCTTACCACTGATGCCCTCTTCAATCGTGCGGTTTACCCGTTTGTCGTCTATAGGTCTGTCCATCTGTTCGCTGTCTGTTGATTCGTACGCCCGGACGTCTTCTGCCATTCATCGGCATCGCTATTCTCTACCACGGACGCGACGCCGCTCGGCGCCGGTTCGGCACGCGTCCTTATCTTCCTCTCGATGATCCCTTCCTTCTCCACTTGCCGTTACCTTTGTTAGGCTATGCACAGGCCAGACAAGCAAGTAGAGTTACAGAAGACGAGGCAGAAGTCGTTCTAGGCCCAGCCTATCTCCTTACCGTCCTTATGCTGCTTCCTTTTGTCTCCTACTGCTACAGCAACGACAACGACTACGACTACGGTTACAATTGGGCCGTTCCTATAGGACCTCGCAACTCTCAGCTAATCACTATGTAACAGGTTAGAAAACGGCTGGACCGAATCAAAGGAGCTACAAAGCTATGCCCTCCCCGCCTACGGCGACCCCACCCAGTGGCCGCCTGCGGGGGCGGAGCGAGACAGACGTGAGATGGGCGCCCTATTGCAGCATTCTGCGGCGATAATGCTGAGCTGGGCACGGTGCGGTAAGCGATCATAGTGGTAGCAGCGGCTTCAGCAGCAGCACACCATGGTGAACCGAAGCGTCGTTTCGTTCTGTACGCCTCATTGATAGCTACCTGTTGTTTTCGAGCTGGCCAACTAAATGGCGGGACGAGTCTAGGGAACGACCGTGTATAGTTCGAGGTTTAGGGCGCACAGTAGTTGATAAAGCGGACAGCGATCTGGATCGTGGCTTGCAGTACAGCTGTTCTTTGTAGACGACGAATAAGTTTGCCTTGGCGACATCAACGGGGTATTGGCTTCGTCAAAGTTCATTTGAATGATAGAAGCATTGGGACGACCAGTCTCTAACTGCAATTACGTTGAAATCGATGCTGCTTCCCCGGAAAATTTTATACCGTTAAAAAAGGGCATAGAGGGTTCTTCTCAATCAAACGCTCCACTCATAAGTTTGTCCTTTCAGAGCTATGATTGGGATTATTGCGTAGGTAAGGTTGTTGAACTCACGCCTCCAATGATGTGTAGGGTAGTGCATGGCGTAGGACACACATGGTGAATTGGATATTCTTGTGCAGATCACTTTTCGTGTTGTGTTCGTGACGAGTAACCACGTCAAACTGCTTTGAGTGCAACATTGAACACTTGTTCACAATGTCGGCGGTATCTGCTGGGGGTGGCTGTGTAACTGGTCCAGAGGATTCTTCCGCGTCCCCGATGCTTAGTCCTGATCGGTCGTTGTATCAGTATCCCTTGCAAGAATTCAGCGAGCAGGGTTCATCTTACCAAAATGGATCCTACCATCATTCACTGTTGTATCATGGTAGTCATGTGCATTATCATCAGCTTCGGCAAATGCCACATTCCCATGGTCAACAGGTGCATCTTCACGCCGGCGGCGCGTACCCCCAAGCGCCTGTGTCCGTTCAAGCCCAACACTTTGTCGCTGGCGTAGACGGCGTTGACGTGGAAGGACATCAAACAAGTGCTATCCACCTTCAACAACTTCACCGTTGGGAACAAAGTCTGCTTCCTGATAGCAGACTGACTAAACTCACCAGAATGCAGCTTGTCTCCCAGGTACGCTTCGCGCAAGATCAATCTGCAATAGTTTGTAAAACGTACATCGAGATGTCGTATAAGACGGATTTTTTTTTTCGATTTTATCGTCATATGAAAATTGGGCTCTCTGAATCTATTACTAGCTCGAGCTAGAAAGAACTATTGAAGATGCATCTTCATTTTATGTTTGATACGTGTGGCTATTTTCTACCTTTGCCAGATCGAGCCATTTGCACAACATAATTTGCAGTTCTCCTACATGCATGAGTTTCTGAAAGGATTAGTGAGAAAAACCCTATGCAAACGGCGTGCTGTTCTTATAGACAAATGCGAAATAGAAATCAGCTTATTTTTATGCTACACAGCACAACCTGTAAACACTTAGCTCAATCTGTCAATATTCCTGTGTCAGGCATAATATTCTCAGTACATCCGCACCTTAAGACCACCTTGCAAGGCTGCCGTTAATTTTCACCCACTGACGTATAATGCCTGCGCATAAGAGTGATAAAAATAATAAAAAAAGCGAATTTCGAGAGTATATGTACATGGTATGATTAAAGTAATCGTTAACTTCCAACGTTTGTAAAACGGTTGCGGCGTTACCGGCACCAAGCGTGACCTCCAACGTAGTCCCCTTTGATCTATCAGGCAAAAGCTGTAAAATGTCAAACGTGGCGCTGATCTATATACAATTTACATTGTTTGTCTCGACGAGTCGATACTGTAATGATATCACGCCTCTATCCAGCACCTTAGGGACGAGCAGTCAATTGTTTCGACGGTTATTTTTCGATGTTGTTGATACTCGTTCTCCCAGTCCGGATGCTATTTGTAACTGTGTTGAAACTTGCAAGTCACGTTGACTAGTAGTTCCCTCATTGCCTAAGTTTCGTTTGTTTGCCACCCATTGGCCTCTACTAATGCCAAGAACAGTTTCCGTTGGCTCTTCACGACGAACGGATAGACGGGGTATTATCAGACTATTTTAGTTGATATCTATTTCGACGTTGACGAGGTTTTGCCAGATGTATTATGCTTCATCTGAGACTCTATGTTGTCGCTGCATAGCGCCATAATAAGCTACAGTTATGATTTCGGGTGCTCGCTCAGAGGGTAGCCGTGTTTTTGCACTGACATGTTTTGTATTAGGTTTGGCGCTTTTCGTAATAGCTGTTTCGGGGATGAGGAGACTCAACTGCCAGCCTCAGGGTCATCATTGTACATGCGCCTCACTACAGTGTCAATAAAGGTTATAACAAGCCCAGATCAAATTCTAAGATGTTCTTCAGTTCAAAAATAATTAGAATACTTGCGGGCAATATCGTGCCATATGGCCTTTTCATAGTGATCGGCTTTATTTAGCGGATAGGCAATATGTGTTTCAGAGTAAGTAGAAGTAAAGTTTTACATATCACGAAAATTAAAGATTCAGCCTAAGCAAACCTTCAACGTTTGGTACAAACGTCTGTCTTGCTTCTGATATAGTCGCTTTAGAGCTTCCATGCTGTTCTAAGTTAACAGCTAGTATGAGCTGTGAAATGTTTACAGATCAATACAGACATATATACGTGGTAGTAGTTCGAAAATCAGCCCGCCTTATTCAAGCAGTTTAACATCGTCAAAAAATCGGATTTTATCTTCTCCTGAAACCGCTGACGCACCTGTTTATAGCCGTCGATAGATAGTAGGGGTGATACTCTCAAAAGTATTTGTTCCAATACAGCTAGCGCAATGGGATAAACCGTGAAAACTATAACTTTACCGTAAAGTGAGTTCATAGTCATGCTGAAGAAAGGTTGTGTGGACCCCCTGCTGTAATAACGGTTAGTATTCAGGTGCAGTCCCAGGTGTTCAGGCTAACAGTTCAATTTCACAAGAACGTTATTGCATTCATATTAAACCGTCCATGTATTGGGCAGATCATTATTTGGAATGCTATAACCTCATAGGTTTATCTCTGTAGAAGCATATACATAGGGTTGCGACACAAAGAAATCTTCATGGCGCTCAAAATAGAGTTGTCCTATTTCCCTTTTTTAAGCAGGACAGGTCTCTCGTTTCTTTTCGTAGAGAACTTTTAACTACAGTTCAAATATCCCTGCCCTATATCTTTTAAGTAGGGATTAACGTGAGTGTCGTTAACACAAGCGTCCATGAATATTTCCACATATCCTTAAAACCTCTATGAAGATTTACAATTCCCTATGTCTATTAACACTAATCCAAGCTCGGTAACACTATTTAAAGCTTTGAGGGGTATTTTGATAGCATGTGGTTATTATGTCAACCATGGCATTAGCTTTTTCGGGTTTAATAAACGTGGCTTTAGATCGACTTCAGTTGGGTTATTTTGATCTATAACTTGTACATCATCGTGTCCTTTATGGCTTGTTGTTTCGAATAGTGTCCGGTCCAATTTACGATTTACGCTACAAGTGTCATATGATCTTTTTGTGTTTTCGCTTGTAAGAGGTGTGTCAGCTGCAGATGCGTATCTATTGATAGAAAACAGAGGTATAGCATTATTAGCATTTTTGACTTAAATCAAAATGTTCTAACGCTACGTTTCGTTCAAAGACTGCTCTTCTCAGGTCAAGCATAACCGCACAACAGGTTCGTTTTCTTTTAGACGCTAGACTAAACCATGCGCGCTTGGACCACGAACGCTTAACGTTGTAAGTTTCATCAGTTCAAAATTGCCCCACATTTGTTTAGTTGCTGTTCGGGGTCGTAGAGCCGAGCCTTAGACCTATGGTCCCACTGGGGTCTGTGCACTGCAGATAGTTGCGTGAGGTGTCTCTGTAGGGCCTTTATATGTCTCTGTGTCTACGCGTGAGGTGGGAGACGCAACGAAGCGGGCCGGTATCTGGATTTCACGGGTCATTCATTCGTGAGGTGTCACTCCTGCTGAAGGTCTTTTGACATAGTCGATCGTCGGGCTTTGATAGTCTTCGTTTGTAATAGAAGCAGCCATGACAGAACTGATGTCAACCATTGTTGTTCTCCTGTGCAGTACTCAAAGACTGCACAAGCGAGGAACAAATCAACGCTGTCAGTGTTACTGGCTTCCTAGAAAAGTAGTTAGTGTTTGGTCGAATAATATATATATATATATATAGATAATGACTGCGGAGATTTTGACCACGGCTCTCTCAATAACGGCGTAACTAGTTAACGTAAACTTCCACAGCGAACAGTAATAAGGATTTCTATAGATAGATTATTATGTACTATATACAGTGTGAACATAGGAAGACGGGTCATAAAAATGATGCCGATCCGTTTACGTAGCATAGAATTTCTGCATGAAAGCAATACTGACGACTGTTCAAGCTCGAGCAAAATCAAGTGTTATCCTTTCGTGCAGAAGTGTGGCAGTGATAGATGTCGCTACGAGCAAGATCAGCGATTTTATTTTTTGCTCTGATAACTCGACATTAATATTGCTTTTATAAGCTGAAAAAGTAATCTCACTTCGCTATTCGAATTTCCCAATCAAAGAGCATTCGATTTATTAAAAGTATTTAATTTTTCTCGTTGTCTGCATTTTACTATATTTTACGCATATTTATGTCCCAGTGTAAATTTAAGAGCCGAAAATTTATTTACTAAATGTTTTTTGTTTCGATTGCTAGTCTAAATGAGACGGTTGTAGAATTTTTTGTTCGATCGAAAGAGGAATGAATTTGTTAACAATTTTTTATAAATAGAACGATGAACGCTTGACGAAACAGTTTACTTGCCTATTTTGGCTTTGTTAAACGAAGATTTCATTGTTTTTTACAGGAACTTTTTTGCGGAGATGGCGAATGGGCTGGATTAGGCGGAAATTCTATGGGGTCCTCGTCATCAGCTGTATCTCTCAATGGGTCAGACCCCTCAGGAGACCCATTTAGTGGTGTACTGCTCCACAATGCCTCTCTGCCATCGGCAATGGATCCGTCTATTGGATTCGCATCATCGGCTAATGTCTCTCAACAGGTTAACCTGCAGAGCGGACAGGTGTCAAATGGAATACACCAAAGTGTCGTAAGCAATGGCCACGCTACTTGTGGGGTTCCAGAAGATGCCCGTTCGATGAGCGAGCAGCAGAACGCCCAAGCGGCCAACTGTTTTGGTTGTCAAACTAGCTGTGGAGGGCAAGGTAAGTGATCTTAATAAGCAAAGATAGCATGTAAAACCGGCGGCCGTTACTAAGCTAGATCTTACCAGTCTGATAACTACACAGTCTTTTGCAATCTAGATCACAAATGAGCTAAACTTCGCGACATGAAAAAATGAGCGATACTTTGTTTGAACCACGCTTAAATCAAGCAAAGCATCTTATGGTCTATGAAGAAAATATGAAGAGACATTGCATTAGCTCTACACTATTTTAGTTAGGAAAATGATTAGTAAAATATGATGAATAGTACTGACTAGAACTAATGGTGGTTACTGAGAGCGAAAGATCTTCAAGGATTCAAGATTTACACAGGACACCGCCAAGATGGTGACAGAAGAAAATTACGCCGTACCCTTTTAGCTCAAGATTATGGAAAACAGAATACTAGAAAAAAAAGTAAGAGATTATCTTAGGACAGGTAAAATGCGCAACCTAAAAGGTGAAAGGTATGAAAGGGAGGAGGGTGTTTGTTATTGTGTTTCCTGGAAACGCGGAGATTCCAAGAAACAGAATGGACCTTCTATTATATGGCATAAGGTAAAATTTGTTGTGGCAACGGTGTTTGGGTAGGTATGCCCAACGAAGGCCATGATATCACAGAACGGTGAAACTGCGGAATAAATGATGGTTTCCATTTCGAAGGATATCGGTTAGGCTCACCGGTTAAAAAAAGCAGAACAAATACATAGTTTTCCTAAACAAAAATGAAGAATCTAGATCAAAAATGGTGCCATAGCATAGATGTTTGCTGGGAAGAGTGAAAACTCGCAGAACGTATCGAAAGTAATGGGTAGTCTCTTGGAAAACTAAGCCAAGTGCCTATACTCTTCTCGGCGAAACCTCGTTACGAAACAAATATTCGTTCATTTTTGCCCTATCCACATACATCTATATACGATGGTAAAAGCGTGGAAGTTCTGGCAAAATGTAACGCTGGTCACAAATTATCACTGCTTGGTGAAAGTCAACGCCTATATAAGAGATGAAATACAAACTAGAAGATACAGATCGTAAGACATATAGGCATCCTTCCACAAAGAGAAACAAGACAAAATGATAGAGACCTTCTTCAAAAACAATTTTGACGGCTTGATGTCCGTCAAAAAGCAGGAAAAATTTAGTTCTTGGACATCCCCCATATTTTTGTACAATTTAGGAAATTTTAGTTTTAAAAAGTTTAAACGAACGTTTGTGCTTGACACGAACATATGTCATCGGTAAACAGATGCAGCCAATATCGAGCCATCTGTGCTCTGCAAGGTTATAAGCAAGCGAATAAGACGGATTCTACTCTTAAAAGATGAATACGTAATGCCGCCATGGAAATGCTCCGACATTTTCAAGCCTGTAACATACATGTGGGCAAATATAGTACAGCGTAAGTTGTAACGTAACAAATGAGAAGCTGAACATCAGTGATTCGATCCGAAACGTCCCGTCGTAAACCCCATTTGTATGTAACACGTCGCGGAAACAACCCGCTGATGCAACATGCCATCGTATTTCAACGATAATCAGAGCGTGAATAAAAGATCCATACTATTATTACTATATGATAGTTGGGAGCTTAATCATGTAGACCGAACAAATAAAGCGCTCGATGCGTTAACAAGAATGGTTTCGCTTCAACGTGGGTTTACTGTTTTTAATTGTACCGCCAACGGCTAGAAAGGGTGAATGCGTTCAGCTTATAGCTTCTGTGGCTCGTCGCGATACACCGTTTCCCGCCGATCCTCGGGTGAGCTATACCTAGAGCTGAGAGCTGACGTTAGTTAGTTAGCACCGAAGCCTAATCACCTATAGTACTGTGTTATCTGCTCTTATTTTAGTCTGTTTCAACGATGCGAACAGAAAACGCAAATCAAACTTAACTTTTGAGCGGTGTTCAATTGTTACGACAGTATCAACCAGAATGTCTAATTTGCATTTTTAACACTCGCAACAAACGATCTCCTTTGACTTTCTGCAGAAATTATTGTGAATACGCATATCTAATCATGATCCCGTTTCTTTGTGCTATGAAAATGCTGCTCCATTAAAACTTTGACCACAATTACGGTCGTGTCATGGATAAGCTCTATTTTAGCCTGATAATTTGTAAAAGTGAGGGAAGCTATTATAGAAACGGTATTGAACGTCTGACTTCTAGCTTATCTTCGAGCTATTGTTCCCCTTTTAGTTCTGAGATATCTGCTTCGTATTTGCCTATGATCATTAACGAGCGAAGTATGAGTTTTTGTAGATTTTTTCCCCTTAGGCTTTAACATTCAGGATTTGCTTTCTCTGCTATTCGTATCTAGGCAACCTTCTTTCCTGCGAGATAGTGAATTTTTCACGAGGCATTTGCCCTCACCATTAGTACTTACCGCTTACCACAAAGTCAACAATGCATTAAAAGATATTGATTGGTAATACTTACACCGGTGCTTGAGTACTTTTACACACAGCTCCTTGCAACTGTCACTTTTCGTTGGAGCCTAATCGGGCCGGAGGCGTGGACAGGCTAAGTGGAAACCGTAAAATGAACTATGCCACTTGTAACATAACTTTATTATAAAGTTGGTAGGATCTTCACATGGCACAAGATACTTAGCCATGAAAACAAGAATGGTAACTATTGTCTATGTTCCCTCTGCGACTTTACGAGCTGCAGATCCAAAGGAAAAATGATTTAATAGCGTATACGTTAGTCACTGGATCAAATAGTACCAACTCGGTTACGTGTTCCTTGACCACATACAATTTTACTTCTCCGCTAAAAGTACCTAGTTGCAATCGAAAAAAGGAATGGCCATTGTAACGAGCACGTGTTACTGTTAGCCGCGCTAAATGGGGGAAATCGCAGCTAAACTACTACAACTACGAGCGTTGTTTGTCTGACGAAGTTCACATAAACAACGGACACGACTGCTGATGCCGTCGCTAACGGTTAGTATCCCAGCGCTACCCTCGGCTGGACCATCAGCGACCGTCATCTCCACGGCGACGACTGATGTCATGCTTCTTAAAGGGAACGTGCTGTGTCCACCGCAATCTCCAGCTGTTATCGCAGTTATATCTTAGCCTCGTTTCGCTTTTTTCGTGGTTATTGCCACTATTTTTCCTGTTGCTATCGCTGTTACCGTTACCGTAACTGTTCCCGACATTTCTGTCTTAATCGTTCGAAACGCGAAGCGTTCGCTGGCGCTGGCTTCCTTTACAAGCTCTCCGCCGTTGTTACAGCTGCTGCTGGCATATCATAGTTCCGTGTTGCCTTCATGTGACGTAGATCGTGGTTGCTGTAAATGTTCCCGCCGAGTTCTCTTGGAGGACCACGACGTTGCTGTTACACCCACTAGCAGGTGTACCAGCGGTTCGCATTGCCAGTTTTGTGACACCGCTAGATGCGCGGGCGACAGCAGCTGTACACGCAACGCAACCGCAACGGTAGGGTCAAGTAGGCATATTTGTCCTTAGTTATTCATCTGTCATAGCTAGCTAGTAGTATGGCGGTCACTAACTACTCATACAACTGCTGATCCTAGACCACAAAAGCCACCAATGCTGGCAGCCGAAGGCGATTCTGACAGACCTAACAGCGAGCGTTTCGTTGTCACAGAATTAGCTATTGGACGATCGATTCACTGTTGTTGAGCAGCTGACTGGCAATGGGGCGGAATTGCGGACGCAACTGCTACAGTACGAATGGCCTTGCAGTAGTGAACAATGAACTGCTCATTTCAGTTGGGTAGAGATAATTATCAACTGACTGAAACTTTATCTATGCTTGTATTCGTGTTGCTGCATAATAGTGATTAAAGGTGCGCTTTTGATCCGAGAGAACATCGGTTTATATGTTTGCGCGGGTAGGCCGAATCGACCTCGACTCTTTCTGAGTCAAGTGGGGCCAATTACTAAGGGTGACAAACGTTCAAATAACAACACTAGGTAGTCACCAACGAGAGTTTTGATAAAAGTAGCCGTGCAGGTTTGTTGCTGATGGCGGTGGCTGTGCAACACGTCTATGCTCGGAAGTGTTGCATGAACGAGGATGTTATGTAGATTATGACACTCTTGGGGCTGGCTGGCTGGCTGACTGACGTTTCATCCCTATAGAGCAACTTTCTTAAAGAAGTTATACTATTATATGTACAGAGCGAGTAAACTTAGTAACGGGCCGCAGCTAGCTTCTACCGTCCCTTCTGTATCGTATCGCTTGTGCTCTGTATTGTATGATTAGCAGCTGCAACAGTGGCTGTAGTATACGGTGAGTTTGCCTCGAAACTAGACAAAACGAGGTAAAATAGCGCTATGGCAAAAGATAGCCTGCAATGCGTTGTAACGTAACAACTCGCGCCATCGTCAACCTACACGAAGCGGCAGATCTTAATAATCGACCCGTTTGCGTTGCCGATTGCACTCGTGTCATAAAAAAGCGTGACTAAGAAAAAAGAAGTACAGAACAACCATCGATGGAGACTGTACTCCTTTGCTGTTACTAATGGCTGACGTAGAAGTGTGATACGGTTGCGTAGTGCATTGTCAGACTCGAGAGTGTGCAGAGGAAGTACCGAGGATTACGTTCGTAAACGGATATGAGGTGGCTAGAAGAAAAACCCTGCGGATATTGTAAGTGGATGCGCAGGTAGAAGTTCATGGCAGTGGTAGTTAAAGCTGAAATATGTGCTTCAGTGAGCCAAGGCCTGCGGTGATAAGCGATGAACGTGGTTTCTGTCAGTCTTATGTCGGATTACGAATCTGCATCTGTAAACCAAGTAAATGTCTACAGCAACGGACTCAGATCGTAAAAAAAAGAACTGAAAAGAGCAAATCGCGATTTAATGAATATGGCTGCCTTCATCCCTTGATCTATTATAGCGCTTCAATTTCGTGCGTGTGTGAGCGAAGAGGGTATTCTTTTTGTCTAATGCAGGAATTGCCACTTGGCAGATTATGTAACATACCCACGTGCGTTACGAAACTTGTTCTCTGTCGTCAGATCGCCATCGAAGTTAGTACTTATCGATCAGCAAGCAAACTATAAAGCAACAAATACAAGTTAAAAAAACACTTATCTAGAACAGTGCAGTGGTATTGCACATGGAAATGGCGGAACAGATCGATAATTGATAAAGCATGTTTATCTAATGGTTGACCCTTGTAGAATCAGTGAGCGAGCGATTCGTTGATAGGTACAATATTAAAAGTCGATACTAATCAGTGTCATATTAAGACGGTAAATTCATTTCGTCAGAATGTCTATAGGCGGAACGTGGTCGCCAAACCTGCAGGAACATCCGGACAATGGAAATTAATTGTTACTTATCGAAGAAAAAACTGAAAAGATCGAAAAGAAGTTAACATGATAGGGCATTAGCATAGCATAAATCAATATACTGCTGGAAAGTTATCCGTAAAATTTTCTGCGAGGTAAATTTTGACGTTTCTAGTACAGAGCATCACGATATTGTTCTCGTTTGCTGGTCGGTTTTAGGGAGTCATTATAGCGGTGCCGACGGAAAGACATCCGGTATAAATGATCAACCTACCACGCGAGATCTGCTATCTTTCAATACTTCCACAGCGTCCTGGGATCCGTTTGAACTTTTTCCAGAAGATTTCGCATCGCTAGCTTCCAACGGAACAGCGACAAGTCTTTCTCCTCAGCTCGGCCTAAACGGGACCGATCATACCACTGTCGCCTGCATTCCGGTGCCAAATCGTAAGTCGTAACAAAGTTCCAAAGAACTATTCCCATTTAATTACCATAACGAGACCATATAATATAGTTGGCAGTTTACTTTTAAACGAATTATTGGCATATTTATTTTAGGTCCATACCATCTTAGAGTTGCTGTTTCCCGAGCGCTGCGACGTAAAGATAACACCATAATCAGCCTAGCGCTGCGTTGCTAAGACTTTCCAAAAGTGAGAGATTGGTGACTGTATTTCTCTTCGCGACCCATAATTACTGGGATCGCCCAACGGTCTAGCCGGCTAAAGCCGACCGATGATGTCAAAAGGTGTTGATATCGCTGGAACAATTTGCTCTCTTATAGATCGAATACGTTGTCAAACGATGGATTGCTGGAAAGATGCCTAATTGAACTCACGACTTGCTGGGTGCTTATCATTGGCAATGAAGCTCAAAGAACTCGACGGCCCTTTTCAGTCGCAACAATTGCTAGTAAAAAATGAATGCATACAAATGTCGGCTGTGAAGCGATGGTGGATGTTCAAAATCGGCTGGGTGATCGCGGCGTCATTTACGTCCAACAGCTTACGCAAGGAATACGTAGCGAGCGATCGAGTCTGCACGAAGGGTCCAATCCTAGGATCCACACTGAAAACATAATACGATTATAGTCAAGGTGAAGCTGAAATTGGTTAACGAATATCAAAACAGAACTTCATAGTATTAGCAATGATCGGTAGTATACGATCATTTAGTTATTATAGGTAGCACGCTATTTTACGAAGTTCTATCTGGCGGCAAACCGGCCTCAACCGCTGCCACCATTCCGTTTCTATTTTTTGCAAAGAAGAAACAGTTAGACTCTACAGGACGGGCGCAGCTGCTGCAGCCTTGCTGCTTCTATTCTTAACGGCGACGGCTAAAACTTACGAAGGCGAAACCTTCGCGTTGCAAACAAGCTATCCTGTTTTGGCGAAGCTCTTGTTGCGATGGCGTCCCAGCCTTTCAGTACTAAACTCTGAGGATCTGATTCTTATTGCATTTAACTACGGCCTATTGCGCCGAAGTGAGGGGATCGAGTTGACTGGACTGTGCGGGTCTATCTGCCGCTTTACCGGTGTACATATTGCAAAGAAGAAACCTTACGAAACTCTAAAAGCGGATGAAAAGGCAGGCGTACGGGGAGCAGGGACGATCTTTGAGATTGCTTCTGACCTCGTACCGCAAGACTACTAGACCTACTGATTCTCGATGCTGCTGATGGTGGGATTTAAACACTCAAGAAAGCTAGTCTATCAAGATAGGGCGATTTGGTAGGCAAGTTCGCATTCTTTGCCGCTGTTGCGCTCTGTTAGATGCTGTGGGTGAGAGTCGAATCGGCGAAGACCGGCGATAAAACCAAGCTTACTATGAGCGCTACTGCCAATGGTGAGTTATCGACTCGATCGATTAGAGACCGATACCAGCGCCCTGTGTCCTATACAGGCAACTATGCAGGAATAGCATTAGAGCTGTCCGTAATGTACATGCACAACACTGTCCTGACAGAGACCTGAGAATCCGAAAGCAGGTCGACAAGCTAGTAGCAGTAGCAAGACTAGCAGCGACAGCACACACACACACACACACACACACACACACACACACACACACAGACGCTCACGCTAACTTACACACATAATAGTACACCTAACGGCAACACTAGAGCCAATGGAGGTTTAAGCAAGGAATTTTGAGCAACATCGTGGGTGAGGCAGCGCCGGGGCAGGAGCGTCAAAAAGGAGAAAACCTGGCCATCTATTGGGATAGAAAACGAGGCCGACTCTTACGAACGAATAAGGTCGGTATCGATTTTAGCACAACGATTATTTCGGTGCTACGATCGTTCAACTTAACACACGCGCTCCCGGTGGGTAGCAATGAAGGGCAGTGAGGGCGACAGGTAAAAGGGCACACGAATCTTACAATGATTGGGTGACTGACACAAATGAACGGATGGACAATCATTGCTCGTTCGAGTAAACTAGTTCGAAGAGTAATGGCGAGTATTCTAGGAAGCAATACGAACGAGAAGACTACTCCCGTCGGCTACTTGTGTTGTTTTCTTTTCGAATACGTATAAGTCAGTACTATCTAACTGCCGTCTACCTGCTTGCATCTGACAGGTGGCATTGGGTCAAAGCCTGGGGCCAGATCTCGTTCAGCCCCCATCGCTATGGTTGTGGACGACCAACACGACCGAAGGCTGTTGAAGCTTCTGGTTAGCCCGGGGGCTAGTAGATGACTAGAGAACGTACGTGGTCGTCTTGCTTTGTGGGTGTAGTTAGCCACGTTGTATGATATATCGGCTCCTGCTGCTACTACCTGTGCTGCGCGCTGCAATGGACGTGTATGGGGGAAGCCTTGTGCAAACGGAGGTGAGTGAATGTCGCCCCCCTCCCCCTCCTTCGTCTTAGTCATTGAAGACGCTGAAGCTGTGACGACAACCACAGAATGATGATGCCCTATATGTATGATGTCTAGTTTGGTGGTGCATGACTTGCCGATGAGGGCATAGCCAAGACGTCTGGCGCTGTCCGCTCCCTCAAATCATGATTCAGAAATTCGCTTGCGATTCTGCGAGAACCATAAAATGCGAGAGGAAAGGAAACAGCCGGGAGTGTAGCGCGAATACGATGACTGAAGTATTTTTGACTAACTTGAGATTAGTTAGCTTATTTTGATAAAACTTTTTTGCCCGTCCCATGCTCTGATAACCGTTTTTTAGCAATGAATCGTACACCAGTGACCCAAAACAGGCAAAAAAGTATGCTTTTGTGGCATATATGATTTGGGCCATAGTTTTTGTTTTATTTACTTACGAGAAAGCGGTGAGTAGGGACTGGAAATCTACATCGCTTTCACTACGCGAACTCAACCAATATTGGCTTTGACCTAGAAATTACAACCTCGAATCCAAATTGAAATTACTCTGTCACCTAGTATGTCGTAAGCTCTGCTACTCTGTCCCATTAACAACGCTTAGGGATCACTCTAACAAGATCGAATATTTCTGTCCCTGATACTTTGCTATAGGAACTTATGGATGTGTGATAGAAGCTTTTCTCTAGGACAGCGCCCAAAAACAAACCTGTTTAACCTTCTCAATCAATCTGCGGTCCACTAACTGTAGTATACAATGTGGAATCGGCATAGCAGATCGGCTTGCCTCTCCATGTGAATGTTCATCGATTGCTACCCAAATGCGTTGCGGCTTTTTAAACCGCTGGCGGCTTTTTTTTTCGAATAAAACGAGCTTTCCTTTGACCGTAACGTTGTCGTCCCGACACAACAAAGTAAACTGCGTTCGTGAACTCGTTCCGATGTTTTATTTGATCATATTTCAATGCTGGCTAAGACATTTGGCATCTTTTCTTTATAGTGGGCTGGTAACGATTGGCAGTGTCAAACCTCCATAGAAATCTGTGTGATATGTACGCATGTGCATGCCTTTAGCAACATGTAAAACCTCTACTAAAACGTGTTTCCATGAAGCATTTTTCAAAATAAACAGATTATATCACCACCGAAATTTTGAGAATTGTATTATTGAAATTAGTATTTCTATTAGATCAGTTGCCTCCCGTGTTCGTTCGGAAGACTCTCGCGATCCCCAAATAATCCTGCACACTTCATACACCACAAAAAGACGAAAATATTACCGTCATTGCTCATATTTGATGCCCTCTTCAAAACATCCAGGTTAGATCCTCGAAAAGGATTCAGTCACATACAAATAGGTATATAAACTTGATTCAGTGGCTTTCGCAGGCAAACCCATCTTGCAGCCACGTTAGTATGCATAATAGTTCTTATAGAGGAAAATTTTCTTATAGCGTTTCACAGACGATATCCTGCAATGCTCATTGAGCTTTTCACGCTACTCGACATCCGGTTCCCAAGGCGAGTTCAACGGCCACATCCATTCGAAATTCCTTAGTATTGTGCATGAAAAAATTCACTGTTCATCGGTTAAGCCATCCAGACATACGTGTGGGGACTACAGCCTTGTCCGGTAAGGCATGAACAGTATTATACGCTTTTTAGGCCTCTCGCCTACGCTTGAGTATACAGCACAACGGCATTCAGCTTGCTAGGAGGCCTATTCCCGTTGGACACTGTGTCCGCGTTTATACTCACTATTACAGGGGTAGGTATTCATTGAGAACTTTCAGCCTCACAGCGTCTTATTCTTACAAGGCTGCGAAGTCAACGATCACTATTCCTGTCTGGACGAATTCAACTTGAAAGTGAACCTCATAGTAGGTACTGTCGAAATCGAGTTTGCCACTACGTTTATCGTTGTCGATGGATAGGATATGTTTATCTGCAGATGCGCTCTTTATACGCGTTCCATTGAAACGGTCAAGTCGATCGACAACACATTGTTTTTAGTTGTCGACAGACATGTTGACCCAGATTTTGAAAATTGCTTGACTGTTTATTTAATCATGTGCTTGACAAGCCTGGCATGCGCTTGCAGTTATTCTATGCCGGGCTTCTGCTGAAGTTGCTAACTATGAACACCGCCACAGTAACAGGAATCAGAATACGTAACTTCGCGTATTAGTTTAAATGCGAATATATATATAAGGGGTTCTGAAAAACGTAACTGTTAGTGATTATAAACTCAGTTTTTGTTTATATCTGATTAATGTGAAGAAATTTGCATGAAGATGTAACATATTGTTGTATAACTTGTCTGTTACCGCTGATGTTAAAAATGACCATAATGCTGATCAGTAAGTACACTGCTGGTATCTATCGGCTATTAGTTCACAAAATTTAGAACATTTAATTCAACATATCTGGTACATTCATACTCAATAGCTGTTTCGGTGTTATCAGTTTTCTGTTGTAGACTCTCCCACAAGAAAAAGTCCATTGACGTCAGGTCTAAGGAACGGGAAGGGTATTTTATGGGACCCATAAGTTTGGGAAATTTTCATCCGAAGTTTTTGCATCCCTAAGTTCATGTGCGCAAGCTCCATCCTGAGTTGGCTACCTTTGTCTAAGTGTTTTTAAATGAGTGCTAAACCGATTTTTACTGTAAATCGAAGTTGTCACGATCTTTTTTATTGTCAGAAAAACAATAGTCTAATTAGTACCTGGTAACTGTTGGTATATTCACACGTTTCTGCATTACATGTGGATTCACGGTTGCGAAATCAACGCGATTATGCCCTTTAGTCTGAACGTAAACCCATCGTTTCAAACAATATTCCTCGATAACTGTGTACCCTGCCCATATTTATTCCGAGAGCCATTCAGGAAGTTATGTTCTTCGCTCGATTATCCGTTGTTGAACTTTTCCATCTTGCAACGTCTTCAAATGCTACGGACGTTTGATTCGCTGGTGCTAAACTCACGACTTTATTGTGTTACAGATTTCTGAGATGTTATGCTATAGCTTTCCAGTATTCGTTGATGTTCTTGGTCTTCCCGAACATTATCTACGGACATACTAAGCAGTTCCATCCGTTTCGAACTTATCTTTTATCCAATTAATTGTAACCTACGTAGAGGGATCCGCCCAACACTCCCTGCTACATTACAGTTGTGTTGCTCTCACACTTCCAATATCATTCGAAAAGTCTTCTTTGTTCAAAAGTTAGTCTCGGTCCACTTATTATTTCAACTAATTACACACTAAAAGGAACAAACGATCAGCAAATTACGATACCGTATACGATTTTTTGAATACGCTATATATACACAAAGTCTCCTACTGTCGTTTGATACCTGATTTTACTTGGGGCTTCACTACTGGCCAAAGCTGTGAAAATACAACAATGAACTCCGTAGCGTAACTTCGGGTAGAGATTTCGCCCTATAGCAGTGTCCTCACTGAATTCGGCCTTCCAGATCAGTGTCGACGTATGCCCATATAATCATGTTGTTAGACTAGGGGCAAACAGCCAATATCTTTTAATACACACGCACTGATCTTTGCGCGGGTTCACAGCCGTTTTGCTATTTAGAAGGCGATACAGCTTGGTCACGAAGTAACGACAAAGGAGGCCTAATCGTGCGTTCAAACGAAGTTTTCTTACCTTCTGTCATCGGTTTTTACCGTAGCGTCAGCATGTAGTTGCTTTCGTAACAGTATGGCCGACAGGTTGCTTTGCTTTTCGGATCTAGGCCCCGCCGTCGCCAAGTTTCGGCAACTAGCCCAGATGACATGCCGATTCCAGCATGCAAAATAGTCGATCCTAGCAACAACAGCGGCGTCAGATCAGAACCCACAGTTCATTCCTGGGTTAGTAGCGTTCAACCTATCGGGCTCACGTTTCTGCTGCAGAAGCAGCACGAAAAGTAAGGAGGAACCGCCTACTGAAGCAGCACACAGGTCGAGTGGCTACTCGTTTGAATCGATTATCATCTCTTGACGAAGTTTTTTTCATTATACAGAGTAGGTCTGCCAACGTCTCCTTCTCCATGATTCTTTCTTATCTTGCATGCTGGTGTGCGTCTGTAAGAATGTAGGTGTCGGATATGCAGAATCGACCGAGAGCTCTAACCAAGGCGGCATTCCTTGGCGACCGTTGCCTGCTGCTCATGCCACTCTCTCCGCTGCCTTTCTGTATTTGCCTGCTGTCGGCGGTCGACGGATCGCGGGGATGCCCCGCACTACTACTAAAACTCTGCGACCTAGGGAAGTCCCGCCAAGAATGACTGTGCGCGGAGTTCTTGGCGCCTTTTTCTTAAAGGTCTCGCCGGCTGGCTTGTCTGCTTTCGCAAGAGAAAAGCCCGCCATATCTTAGAGTCGGTTCTCAAGATCTCGGTGTGTTTGACTATATATATATATATATATATATATATCAAAATGGCGGACTTTTTCGTCGTCTCCTGCACCTAGAGCAGTACGCCTCAGAAAAAGACTTGATCTTATAGAACGTTTGGTGGCGGTGCTCTCTCCACTGCGTGATTGGTTGGTGCGTGCGAAGACACCCTCTCTTGTGGGTTCCAAGCAGGTGGCTCGTTGTCTCATATAGATGTCTTGACCCTTGATCGTCTCCGGCAAAATCTAGAGAGCGCTAGTGAAAGACGAACGAGGTTTTAAACTCGACAGTGGCTTTACAGCCGATGTCATTCGCCCTTAGACCTCCTTGAAGACATGTGTTCTCTTATGGCTGAACAGGTTTGCCCGCTGCGGCAAAGTGCCCCAGTATCAGTTATCGTCCATACAAACAGTATGTTCACCAAGAAGTTCGTATCCGATTGTAATGCAGACCTTCCGAAAAAGTGGTGGAAACGGAGAGCACTCGAGAAATTTTATTCTTCCGGCGACGAAGTGTCTTCATCTGGCAGTGACAGTGGTATGTGGTGAGAGAAATCGTTGGGTTTAAACGTAGATCTGTTGCTCGCCCGGTAGGGGTAGCCGTTAAGCAGCCAACTTGAAGTTAACTGACGTAACAATAAGCTAATCTTGCCTTATGCTTTTCTATTGAGCAGGACAATTATTCAGTTCTGTCAAAGCACAGTAGTGTAAAGGTTCCATAGATTAGCATAGTATTAAAAAAAAAAAACGATTCTTAAAGTAACGCTTCTCGATCGTGACGTTAGTCAGCTGACGTACTCTTACGAAATGAGTACCAATAAATGTTGCAAGTACAATCTCGTAGTTACCCCATAATTAAATTTTATAAATTTCTGTTTTTTTTTTTTATAGAATCGGAGAGCTTTCGCGGATTACCCAACGGTGCTGTCTGTAGCGAAAGCACATTTTCAAATGGCCGTCAGGGTCGATCAGCATGTTCGACAGCAGTTGCAATGTGCAAACAAAACGAAGGTCAGGGCATCGGATACGCTGCGAGCGACACCGGTGTCTCTTCGATGTACTCGGATGAATGCGATGAAGTACGTAACATTCAATCGTTACTTGTGCATTATTAGTAAAGATTCATTTCTATAGCAAACGTGTACACTTAAGACCCTTTTGTGATATAGCCATATCTCTTATCAAGTATTGAAAAAGTCTATCTACCATAGTACAAGTTAGCGCTGTATAGAAAAATTAATCATTTAACAACTGTTGGGGGTTACTGCGAGTCGACCAATCTGTCAGGTTTAGTCGGCCGCTGCATCTTTTCGATCGATTTTGTTTAGAACGTTAAAAGTATTGATGTCCAAATAATCTTGTTTTTTTTTTTGTTTTTCTACCCTGTCATATGGGCATAATAGGAATGGATGGACGGAGCAAGTGAGGCTTCGCACGAACACGAGCAGCTTGTCGTCGGTGACGGTGAGCTCAACTACCACTCAAACTCGTCGTCGACTTCGTCCTCCATGTCTTTCGGGTCCGGCTCAGCTGGCACCATTGATAGCTGCTGCACGGTCCCGCAGAAAAAATACAAGTTCTTCGGTCGTAAGCCCTTCCTTACTTGCAATGACATTACGCGCTCGCGAAGTCATGATGACGCCCACGTCGTTCCTCAGCCACAAAAGATTCACATTCGCTCGGAATTGCAGTTGCACGGACAGACCCTTCAAGATGTGCAGCACAACCATTCATACAGTGTGCCTAGTGAGGTGGGATTGCTTGCCCCTGTGTACAACGTCCAGGAGCTTAGTATCAGTGAGGCGGCGGGAAATAAACAGGTGCCGCGCTTCAAACCGAAGACACCTAATGACACGACAGCGGTCGCCAGCTCATCGGACAACGCCACAATGGGTTATGTCGATGAAGGCGCCGGTAGTGGACCGGTGACTTCATCACGTGACGAGCGTCGCGCACGAGAACTCGGTATTCCAATTCCAACCGAAGAAATTGTTCGCCTCTCCATCGACGAGTTCAATGAAAGACTGACGCGCTACGAGCTTTCGGATGACCAGCTCGCTCTCATTCGCGACATTCGTCGCCGTGGCAAAAACAAGGTGGCAGCGCAAAACTGTCGTAAACGCAAACTCGACCAGATCTCCACTTTGCAGTTCGACGTTGACCGTCTACGTGAGACGCGGCGCGCTCTCGAAGTCGAACACGAACAGCTCCGGCGGCTCGAGAACCTAGCTGATATGCGCCTTCGCCAGCTGACGGATCTAGTCAGCACAGCTGAAAGGCAAGGCAACCAGGTGACTAACCAGATAAACTCCGGGGCGCTAGGTCAAACAAGCGTCCGGCCAACGGCCGCCACTGGGGCAATACCCAAGAATTCTGCCAACCTTAAACTATGAATGAGTAACCGTGGATTCATTCAGAAGCAGAAAAACTGGAAAAGACAGAAGGAGGTGATCAATGGCTACCCTATATTTTGCAGATATAGGTCAGATAAGTTTGGCGAATTAGTCGCAACGTTGGCGATATGCCGCGATATCTTGCCATCTGTAAATAGCTTACTGTCATGTTGTTTGTACAACTATTGCTTTCCTAATTAACCAGTTAACTAGCGCTAAAATTTCAAATAATGCACGGCCTGTGCATGGGTATGTGGAAGTGGGGTTGTGTATGTTAGAGAGGAAAGTGTCCGTATCGCAAATGCGGTAGTTTTAGGGTTAGAATGTGAACAATGGGAGAGCACTTGACGACAAGCCAATGTGCTACACACTACTGCAGCATACTGTAAAGCAATCATAATTCAACGAGAAACTTTACCGATAAAGTGAATGGCACTTTGTTTGGCTCCGATTGTGATTACTATCTAAGACCCCTCCGTCTCACCCCAGCACCGCAATGATATCATTGCCTGGCTGGATTAATGAAAATCGTTGTTAAAACGTCACTTTGTCCTGCCTGTCAATAGTGGAAAATTATTTCATTTGAAACTGTAAAATGTGAAAGCAGACTGCTATCTTGAAGAGTTCTAGCTTTGGTAACGAAACGGGCATACCTATAAATTACTGTTGAAAATATTCTGTCAGAAAAAATCGTCAAATTGTCTAGGTAGGTTTCTTCTCAAGGCTCCTTTGGTTGAGTCACCTCAGTGTCGTCTCGGGGTCTTCATACTTAGACAGAATTTCTGTGTTGTACACAAGTATTGCTTTACGTCAGAAATCATTTTTTTTTTTTGCCGGTACTTCTTTGCTACTTAAAATGTATACTTGCAATATTAGCGACACTATTTGACAATACCATTACTATCGCTGACTAAAATAATAATTATTATTATTATTTTTAATTATTATCACAATACTAATTATGATTGATAGTTTTACATCATCATTCATGGGCGACCAAAGAGAATCAGTGAACAATGCTATGTATGACTATGCGTCCTGGGTACGTATGCGGATAAACGAACCCCTTGTAAATACTGTATGCTTAGAAAGAATGAGAAAAGTTTGCGTTTGTATGTTGTGTCGTGGAAATATAGAGAGTTGAGTGAGTCATGAACAAAGGTACGAGAAAGCGATAGTAATGACTGGAAGCAACGTTTGCAAATGGTGGTGTTTTTGAGTTTCTGGGAACATCTGTTGCGGTTGCCTCATGATGATTTTGGTTTCATATCAGAGCTAAAATTTATATTCTTAGCAACAAAGAGACAAAAAAAAAAATGTAACTCATAAAATACTAAACCATCAATTGGCTCTTCTAGCTCTCAATTTCATACACTGACCCCCAATCAAATTGCGTCTATAGCCGTGCAAATCTAGCAAACACAATCGGACACGTTACGATGTTTTGCTTTCAAATAATTTTCTTTTGTTGCCTACGTTGTGTATAGCGCATGACGCCCAACGGAGGATGCTCGTGCACCAGTTTGATGCTTTTTTGGCCTGCGCTGGCTGGCCACTAGCAGAAAAGCAATATTTAACAAACACAAAAAAGCAAAGAGAAAAAAACGAAAGATATTACTCTACCGGTGACGCACCCATTCTATTGGATTTTTGTAACGACGCTGCCGTCAATTTGTCCATGATGCAAAGCGAACCATCGAGGGGGCTCTATACAATAAAGAAATTAATATAATTTATAATGATTACGTAGTAACCTTTATACGACCCCTAGGTAAAACTTGTCTCGATGAAGACGAGGTTGGTTTATTTCTGCCCCCGTGCGTCATTCATTTGTATGATAAAACTCTTCTGCTTTGTGCATTGTTTGCCTATTCTATTCCATATTCATTATCGTTTCACATAAGCGCTGCGTCGATTGTCTGAAATAGCTTGCGGAGAGATAAAAAAGTTCACGTGGCCTTGTAACTTCAATACATAAATGGTTGAATGGTTGAACCTATTATAAATATGGCGGTATAGTAATAGTGATGCACCCCCACAAGGTCGGTCATTACCAAGTGTTGGGGTCGCCACTTGCAATAGTGCATTGTACTGGAAGTAAAACTCTCTCTCTCTCTCTCTCTCTCTCTCTCTCTCTCTCTCTCTATTTGTCGAGTTCACCTGTTGGAGTTGCTCGTAAGGCGTACTTTGTATCTGCTGCAGTGGCAAACGTGCACGCATGGACTGCCAGGGTGCCTGCGAAAGGTGCGATTCTGGTCGCCAAGTGCTACACACGGCGGCCCAACCCCCAGAAGAGTCGGTGTGCCTAATCGGCTTGCACGACCGCTTACCGCGGGCACGTTTGCCATGAAACATGAGCCGGTGAAACACACAATTACCTAAATTAAACACAAGTTCACTGCGCACGTCTTCCGGCAACGTGCTTAGAAATTCTTACTGCTGCAAACCTTTGGAAAAGTGAAATTGAAGGCCAAACGCACTAGTTGTCTTACAGACCTAACATTGGTCCCTACTTATCCATAGCTCACGCGTGCACGCGGATCGATTGTGCATAGAGGGTACCCTTCTCTACCCCGTCACTGACGGCTTTGATGCCTTTTCGTCTGGCAACTGTGAGTGAGAAACAGCGACGAATGAATGTATTTCATTTAAACTATCTAACCTAGTCTCACCCTGCCCGAAAGGTAGACATCACCTCTGGATCTGAATATCATTAATAGGTCTAATGCTACATCTATTCTTAGAATAGGTCCTCCATAGAACAACCTTGCTGCTCAAACAATATTGAAGGAGACGTTCCTTATTTTGCTTCTTATTTTACACCTTCAGTCATTACACTCTGAGCCTGCGATATTATTCAAGTCTTCAATGAAACATTACGATCCAGGTACGTCATGACATTTATGCCAATCAGTCCGTTCATACGGAGCAGAATTATGGTTCTGCCAATACAAAACCTGTCGTCGCACTTGTATCAGTTATAGCTAGGTAAGCTGGGAAACCTGTTTTTCAGCAGATGACCTCTCAGTCATGCCCTTACTTTTCTCGCTATAGCATCCAGTCACACTTCATGTCTGGCACGAGGTTTCAGGGTCACGGAAGACAGACCCTTAAAACCCTCATGCTCATTTGGCATTCTGTTACATAATACCTTGATTAGGCAATAGCTGTATTAACCGCGTCATAATGCGCCTCACAATATGTACGGCTTACAAATTTTAATAATTTCTTTCAACAGTTATGAGGCACATAATGATGAATCAGCAAACTGTTGAAAAACTTACCTTACAATCAACCTGTGAGGAGGTTCTGAAGCGGAGCGTGATTAGGTTGCAGATAGAAAATTGAGTAAGCGATATCAGGCATTTGACCATCCAACCACTTCACAATGCACCCTACAAGTATATCCTTCATCTAATAGAATTCCTAAAGTTCACGTTCTTCGTATTACCTAGCTGCTACAGTATCACTACAGATTATTATACTGCTACGCATATATTTAGTTGGACGAAAGAACACCACGATCCGAATAGCAACAAATGGCAAGTACACATACGTTGAACGAACGAACACATTATGATACATTGCGAACAGTTATGGTTTCCCATGAAGAGGCAATGTTTCATTTCTAAAAATAATGGTTTATCATATATAGCCTTCGCGTTATATATTTCTATGTAATATATCACAGTATTATAATAAAACTGCTGCAAATGGGTTCTTCTTAATCGCGTGTATGGGACAGATAAACGTCAACGGTTTTTCGTCACCCTGCTCTACAAACCAGAGTATGCCAATAATAATAAGATCTGGTTCGCATGATATGCGAAAGCACTTATTACAGGTAAAAAAGGTATCCTTTTAATGAAAATTCACTTATTTATCGATTTTAACACTGGATCTTCAAAAATTACTATAATCACATTGTGACAGATCTGCCGATTGGTTCGCTCATTATTCTTTAAACGCATAATGATTTACCAGCGTTTTTTCCGGTTTTATAGATTTTTTCTTCATGCTAAACATTGACAAAGTTACTTTGATCTGTACGACGGGCTGACGGCTTGTCTAATAAT